CCAGCCGTTACGTGCATTGTCGCTAACAACGAGTTAAAGGACGTGAAATGATCGTACAATGCAATTAATTCTTCTCTGACTGCGCCTTTGTAAACAGAATGCAAGATTTGGTCATTTTCAGGGAGAGAAATATGCCTTGTCTCCTCGCTTCATATTTACTTGTATATAAGATGTGACTTGTCATGCTTCAAACTGCTGGCATCGTCTCTCACAACACATCACAAAACTGTCACATCAAAAAAATACCCAAAAAATATGATTCCAAATTATCCAAATGTTCAAAAATTTTTAAATGCAATTTGAAAATCTTCAAATTTTGGTAGTGTGAATGATGTCTGTGTTACATATTGCTCCACACCGAGTATATAAATCCCTTTATTGACGGCTTCTTCTTTTAATGTACAGAGACTGTAATATTCTTGTAGTTTTTGTCTGCATATGTATGTTAGTGAATGCATATTTTTATGTTTAAGCAAATGTCTTCACATGAGCTTTTGCTTATTTAAATAAGTTTGGAGTTCTTACAGTCGAGCACGTGTAACCTACAAATATTTGTGGTTGCATCTTTTGACTTGGAACCATGTAAGTGTAACAAATTATCAGAGTCATGAAGTTTCGAGTGTTAACGAAAGAAAAAGAGCAATGACTGTGAATGTACAAGTTCAAAATAGCTAAATAATATTGCTTTGACGACAGTGCTTGCATACTTTTTTTGTATCCACATAAGTCAATTTCAAGACAGTTAGCAAGTCAGTGGTACTGGTTAATTTTGTCGTCAATATCCGAGAAGTATTAAGCAATGCAGTTATATTAACTACAAGTAAATCTGAGTTCAAAATACAGGTATGTCAAACATATTATATGTTAAACTGATCTCAAAATATTATAATTTAAAATGATATCTGAATCGGAATCGCAAGTCTCTCTCTGCTATTGTAATTTGTTCAAAGTACTATTTAGAAGGTAACTTATGTCAATTTAAAATTACAGTACTGAGAATTTGGCCCCTCATTGTTTATGTATTGCAATATATATATTATAAAATCATTTTTATTGACGATGTGATTCAGCGATTCAATTCCATATGTTGGTGCTTGCTCATCCCAAATTCAACTTGTAATCAATATTTTATAACTCTGCAATTTGGTACCATTTTTGAATGCTATTAGTGAGTTCTGTTTATTCCACTATTATCCTTTTTCCACAAAATAATCACTTCCTTATCAGCAAGTTCTTAATGTCAATTTGTTAATTTTCATTCCTTTCAACTGATAATATTGTTTGTAAGCGACGAACTGTCAGTCGTAGGAGTAACGCTTTGCTTCTGCTTCTAATATTCGTAGAAAATTCTTTCCAATTATTTGTGATAGTAAAATTAAGTTTTGCATTTTTAAATTTCCGTAAGTATGCACGCATTATTGGAAAACTTGCATGAAATCGGTAGAAATTCAGTGCTTCAAACTGTTTTGAAAAATTACAAAATTATATTTTTTTAACGAAACATCTCTGTCTGAAATTATGCCTTCTTCCGAAAGATAATTTGATGATTGTATATGCTCAACAAACATAGAATTTTATTCAAAGGTCTAAATGATTACTTTAATATTTAAATATAAGTTTATTTGCAGTGTTGTAACGATTTGATGAGTCGATTTATGCTACATTATTTGCGAATATGTTTATAAGTTATAAATTGAAACAACTTTAATACTTTCGCTGCTATGAACACTCATCTTCAATCTTTCGCAAAATTAAATTTAGATAAATTCTTTTTACATACAAATTTTCATATTTGGATAAAAATCAACTTTTGAAACATATAAATTCCATATTATTAGTCTTTTATCTTACGCTGATTATTAGTACTCATTACCATATTTTAATGAAAATATTTTTGTGTACACTTTTTATCAGGCATCATAATCATATTATCGTTGTTAATTTTGTCTAAATACAAGCTAGCTTGACATTTTTTAAAGACTTTATGTGTTTTCACTGTAGTCATTATTTTATCATAGGTATTTACCACTAATATCAAATGCAATACGTTCAGGAACTGAGAATAAGTAACTGTAAAATTTTTAAAAATTGACTTGGTTTCTTTACAAAATTTTTAAAATATTGCTCCGTTTCAAAAGAATAAATATTTCAGGATTATTTATTTTTATAATAGAATTGAAAAGTTAAATTCCATTGCTTTGATTGGATTATTTCAAATACAATCCCAGGCGTAATTCAATTATTCAACAGAAACGAAAAGAATTGAAGTTAGCACAAGTTTTGCAGGTTCACAATTTTAAATCTTAATCACTTTTTTGCAAAACTGGCTAGTTATCAAATAAAATAACAATTATTATTCACTTTTAATCCTTTTTTAATTTAGTTTTTAGGTAATCTAGTTTAAATTCCTTTTTTAAATATTTCCCAACTTAGTTTTTTTATTTTGATCACATTATCATATGCTGATGGTAATGATTGATAACGTTACTATGTTATGGTGCCTGACAAAAAATGTAGCCTACACGCCGTCAATTTTAATGAGTATCTTGTTTTTATTGTGATAAAGTAATAACTATTGTTTAAGTTGGCATTATTCAAGTGAATAATATAGTCTCTGTAAAATGATTGTGTTTTTCAACTAGAAGTAATTGTGAACAGAAACTTTTGCAGTGATTAGCGTCTCAAGAATGAATAATTCTGAAACGATCTTTCCAGCTGGAGTACTGCTTAAATATTTGGTGATATTTTTTAATTTTTTGGAAGTTCGAAGGACTCAAAAACATTTTTTAAAGTGTATTTTAGTTGATACTTAAATTAAATTTTTTGTACTAAATTTTTTTACTAAGCTGAGAAAATTGAAAAATAAGAAATAATCAAATATTTTTTCAAAACGATATTATTATTTTTTTGAATTAAAATATTAAAAAAAGTACGATAGAAGTATTTTATTTTTCTTAATAATTGAAAATTGTTTGTAATATCGCAAGGTTTCTTTTTACTAAATTAAACTATTATTAATTAATAAATAAATCAAAACTTCAGAAATATCATGTTTGCTTCAAATCAGATGACAATTACACAAACACAAAATAAATACTGTTAATAAAAATTTAATTTGAAAATAAAAGATTCTTGTTTTGAAATCAAATGATCAATTGGAATCAAATGATAAGAAATTATCTTTAACAAAAAACAACATAATAGAATTTATCTTTTAATAAGTAAACAGCACCATAAACAATGACTGAATCATAACCTGTTTCAATATTAGAAATACTCTTCTTTGAATATTTTCAGAATGCCATATTTTTTTATTAAATTCTATAGACATATTTGTTCACGTTAAAGGAGACGTGCATGTGCTGTTAGTCATGCAGTCAGTGGAGTTGAAAGAGCGCCTTATAAAATTGTAAACAAAAATTTTATTTTTATCAAATTTTCGTAAGAAAAAGATGGAATGATGTCTTCAAATCAGTTTTAGTTTTACTCAAATTACCGATTGTGATGTACTCGTCTTACTTTCACCTGTAAAGTAGTATCAGTCACTTCAAGTTTTCAAGTCAGAATTTGATCTAATTTTTCGAAATGAAATATTAATTTACATTAGTTTTTGTGTGACAGAAGATTATTAGTATGAAGACAATTATTTCATTTCGCTCTTAATATTCTGTCATTACTTTTTGCTATAGTTTAATTTGAATTACCAAAATTGATAATATTATTTACTAATATTGTCATTTGTGGCAATTGGTTGAAAAAAACATTGTTTTATGACTTATATTTATATCAGTTTATTTAAATTTATTTATTAAACTTGGTCAATATTCAAAACAGAATTGAAGTTTCTAGAAAAGTTAGTGGAAAAATTCATTTAATATTTTGCTTCCTATCAATTTTATCTTTGAAAAAAAATTAGTATGAATTTATTTTGTCATAATTTTATGTTTCAAAAAGATAAACTTATTTTCATTGTCGTTATTTACTAATTATGACATTGATAAAGTGTATTAGGGAGAAAGTAGTGCAGAAAAACTATTTACTTAAAGAATTTTATTTACTGTTTACTTTACTTTGTCGAAAACATATAAGCACTGTATCCTTGTGGTAATAACACGAGAAGTAACAGATTAAATTCCATCATAAGCTGACACTTTTAGACATCTCATTTCTGTTTTTTTTTAATTTTTCGTGTAATTTATGCTAGGCAATAATTGGGAGATTAATCACTAGTTGTTTCTGATGCTTTAACGCGAATTAATTCTAAATGAATGATAGATTTCATTGATTATATAAATATCGGCCAAATCAAAGCTTCAAGTTATGCTCCAAAGTCAATATTCAAAACAGGATTGAAGTTTTCAGAAAAGTTAATTTACAAACTTTGTTATTATATTTTCGTCTCAAATAATGTCAATAATAACTTTGTAAATATGCAGAAGTATTACTTTGATCTGGATTTGATAACATTTGCAAATATTAGAATTTAAGTAAATATGTGGTGAAGTTTGATTTCAAGCCACTATTTCCGTATGCAGACTTTTGAGCATTAGTAACATTTTTATCAAATTTTTACATGTAAGCTTACGTTGAACGTCAGAATTCATGCCACTCTATAATTTCATGAAGTATCTAATAACAAAAAACTATGCAAGTGCTCAGAATTTCTGTTCGAATGGAATTTTGATTCTAAATCAAATCACAATTTACAACTTTATGTAATTTGTAGAATAATAGACTGCTTCTATTTTCTTATTTTCAATTTTGGAATTTATTCCTCTAAAAAACTATTTTGCTGATTATTTTAGAGATTTTTAATTGCTTTTCAGTGATAAAATTTTACAGTGAAAGATTTCTTTTACGGTAAATTTAAATTTGATATTTATTTTTGTTCTATTTCTTAATGGTACAATTTCAAATGCACTAATAACAACTTGATGAAGGTTTAGGGGATAGAAAAAACTTTCAATCATCCGACAGAAATATTTAGAGCATACGAAGAAATGGATTTACGTTCCGAACAAATACCCTCAAAAGATGGCAAGTATAACGGGCAAAAATACTGGTCTAATGCTAACTATAAGTATGCTTATTATCATAATTTTAATCTTTTTATCTTTTATCCAAATTACCTTTTAAAAACTTTTAATCATTTTGATTCATAATCTGAAATTTTTTATCAATTCAAATTATTATTTAAATATTCAGCAAAATAGTTATTCATATTGCCCAAAAATTACTTATTGTTATTATTGATGATTTTGTTAATAAATAATAATAATAATAAATAATAATATAATAACCACTAACGAATTGTTATAATTGTAGACATGACTTAAAACTAGACGATAATGGAATGCATAATGCATCAGATAATCATGCTGGAAATATGACTACGTTTATATCAGTTCCAAGCAGTTCCGCTCAGCAAAACTATTCGGGCAGACCTCATAAGCAAGAAACAATACGTGATTCACAAAAAAATAGACTTCACACTTACAACTGTAAACTTATTTTTATGCAAATTTTTTTGCTTAAGTAATCACTTCCAGTGAAAAATTACAATACAGAAAGTCTGAAAAAAAATGCTGTACAAAATAAGTAATTGGGTTGCAAGAAATTTTGCATTAGGTTAGTTGTAATAATCATAAGAAAAAAAACATTTATAATAGTAAGTAATAACAATTATTGTTATCATGATCACAATTGTGATTATACATCATGAATCATTGATAATGCTAATTGCCGCAAGAACAATGCAGTGTAATGATAACAAATTACAATGAAAATAAATAGTAACGCACGTGACGTAAGCAAATTATCACAAAACTTTATAGAAAATAGATCAAAATTACTATTAATCAAGATAAGTAGCAAAAAGGATGTGATAAGTTTTCTCAAAAAGTTGATCAAAAGATTAGTGCTTTGTCACTGGGCAATGTAAATAACACTGATTAACTTTTTAGCTTCGAACAGAAGGCAAAATTCATCATTTGAAAACTGCTATGATGTCTACAACAATTCTAGTACAGCGTTTGAGTTCATCGATAATCTTGGGCGATATCTTAGTTCACGTATACCTCCTTGTGAGTACAGTAAACGTTGAAATGTTTATTTTATGAAGTCAAAAAAATTAAAACTTACCAACTATAAAGTGTGTCATATATCCTTGCAAAATTTGCATACAAAACTTGCATACAAGATACAAATAATGAAAAAAAAGACCTAAAACTTTATGGTAATTCGTTCTTTTAGATAACGCCAAATGATCAATCTTTATCATTAGTAAATGACTTATTAATAATATATAGAATACGTACTTAGTGATAACAATGCTACTGTAAGTATTAATATTATTTTCGTTCAAATTATCCAATAAAATAATTGCTAACTTCTGAGCCAAAATTGTTAGCTGCATTAAGTCTTAACTGAAATATTTGTTGAGCTTTATAAATTTTACATCAAATTTTTAAATGAAATTTGAAACAGAAATAAAGTTTTCAGATTGCTCAATTGCAATAGCAACTTTGCTGGCTTTATTGGCTCTTGCAATGATTCTAACTGGTCATTTTTTTAAATCAACATCATTTTTTAAATTAATCGTCTTTTTAATATCTATCACAAATTGTCAATAGTCAAATTGAATGAGAACAAATCTTGAAACGTGTCAGTTGCTCGAATCTCTTTTTGTAGGCATTTTCAATCTACAAGATTGCCCATCAAATCCAATGATTCCAACCTATCTCATTGTAATGGGATGCTTGTTTATTATCTGGGCAGTTGTCCGAGGCTTTGCATGTTGTTCAAGCGCACGTGAAAATACTTCATTGGGCGCGGATCTACTGTGTAAACTGATCGAAGGGTTTTTATTGGTGTCATTCATTGCTTGGCTTTTAATAGGTACATATGCTTAATTGAACTTCAATAATATTTTGCTGATGAATATTTAAATTACAATAATTCCGTTTAGATATTTTGAGTTATAACTAATAAAATAAAAATATTTAAATGTATTAAAAAAAATAACTTTCAGTAAAATTATAACTTATCAATAATTTGGTTGATAATGCAGCGTTGCATATCACTCCATGATTTTGAATTTGATGGTAAAGTAATAACATTAGATTAAAATTACAATTAATATAATAAATTTCTCATCAGAAATTAATTTCAGGCTGCTTCTGGATTTTTGGTCCTAAACAATATCAATACACCGATGAGTACCACAACGAATATTATTGTAATACTTTCTTGTATTGGGTTGCTTGTATCACAGTTATATTACCACTATTGATAATTTTTCTGGGATTGCTATCAATAGCTTTTTCGCTATGTTTCAACTTGATGAAAGATTCTGATTGATAAATTGAATGTGAGAATTCACATAGAATATATGCGTAAAAGTTTTCTCAAAAGTATTGAACTCAATTGTCCAATGTTTCTGTGAAAATGTCTGCATATATCCTTTTGTATATAATCACATTTATGGTTGTTTAATAAGTCCGAAAAACCAAAAATTTTGATTGCTCTAATTTGCAAAGAACAAAAAATGCAGCAGTTTTTATTTCTTTGCAAAACATGAAATATTCAAAAATTAAAAAAAAACAACTGTTGTAATTTTTCAAAACAATTTTGAAATTTTCAAATTCTTCTAAAACATTGAAATTGTGATCAGTTTTTGAAAAGTACTGATTAAGGCTTTTTAAAAGAATAGCAAAATAATTATTCTACTCCTTACTAGAGGAGGCATTGTACTTACATATTTCTTTAGTATGTAAAAATAAATTAAAAGATTTGCAAATTTTTGTAAATTTAAAAAACATAATTTTGATTGATTAATTGATTGATAGATAAATAAAAGTATTTTTGCTAATATCAATTTTGCAGTGTTGCGAGGAAAGTCTTCTTCTAATTTGCAGGATATATACCCTTAAATTTGCATAATAAATAATTATTTATTCATTTCAGCAGTTAGTTTTTTATTTTTCAAATAATTTTTATCTTCTAAAAATACTGTTGAAAATAAATAGAAAAAATAATGCAGATTGTAAAGAGTTTAAAACAATATTTATTTTTGATTTATAAAATTTGAAACCATATGTAATAGTTCACAAAGGCATAGATGGTTTTGTTGAGCCACAAAAACTAGAAATTTGTCCTAAACAAACCAAAAAATCTGTAGAATTTACCAAATAATTTCATTTACATCAACCAATTTTAAAATAAGTCGTTTAAAAATTATCTCAAGCATTTAAGAGTTATATTCTACCCCTATTAGGTACCTACCAAAAAATTTACTGAATGAGGTCGTCTATTCAAGAACAATTTAGTTTAAACTAACTTGTAATTATAAAAGTATTGTGTCATTCTCTAAAAGTGTTAAAAAATATGATTTAAATTAATTGAATTAAGTAAAAAAGAAAGCATTCTTTTCATTAGAATTTTGTCATCAAAAATTGTAATGCTGGGTATTATGAAGAAAGATTTTGAGCTTAAGAAGTGGTGTTAGATATTGTTTGGTAAAGTGGTTTGTGAATTCAAAAGTGAGTTACTTCAAGTTGCTATAAAGTTGACTTTGATTGAAAGTAAAAGCAACAAAGTTATATAAGATCAAGTAGAATAAAAATCAGCACGCTATAATGACTGATTCACGTTAGAGCGAACGTAAAGATAAACAAACTATACTTTGGATAAAAGAACTATTTTTTTGAATAATTTGTTGAAAAATTTATTTATAATTAAAGTTTTTCAACTTTAATACTTTTTCATAGCTGTAATTTTACTTATTTTCATTCAATATTACAATTAATTATTTAAATTTGAAAAAGTTAGTGACATTTTTTAAAATGAAATTCTATCATAAATTGGTTAAATTACTAGTTGTAAATTTTGAAAATAAAATCTAAAACGTGTAAAATGTAACGTCTAAAATGTAACGTACAAAATAATAAACATGATAAAATTAAGTGTAAAATAATAAACATTAATAAATTAAACTATCATTATTATATGAATTTTTAATGGTTATCTTTTCGTTATTAAGTTTTAGTTTTTCAAACACTAATTACTTTTTGATCCTTTTGAAAAATGCTGTACTGGAATTAAAGTTTATTTTTCATAATATTGGTGGAAGTGGTAAAAATTTTTATCAATTGCAATACATTGTGATAAGTTACCATTTCTGATATAACTTACAACGATGTAATTCATCATTGTTCTACTATATCATGCAGTTTAATTTACAAATAAAATAAGCCTAACTAATAATAAAATGGAAAAATAAATGTGTAAGTCATTACAAATTAAAAAAAGAAAGCTAAATATGTATGTATGTGTCTTTTAAAGTTTTTCGAGAAGAAAATTTTAAATTAAACAAAGATAAATAAACAAAAGTCAGAAGCACTGCTGGAATCTATCGTTATGTCAACTGAAAAACTGAAAAACTTATAGCTCAGAGGAAGTTTTCAAGGGGAATATCCGGATTCACTCTCTCCTCACTACTTTCGATACAAAATGCAGTTAGCTATAAGAGTGTTCACTTGCAGTCTTATTTAAGTTACTCAAAAACTGCTACACGTAAGTGCGATTTCTTGAAAATAAATACATTCAAACATTAGTCAATGAGGCCAATTTGCTTCACTCATATATTTTGCAAACTTTTGTCATATCTTAATTTCAATTTTTATAACTTATTTATATTTGAGTGCTACTTTTTCAAATGCGATTTAACATTGTTTCATTTTCGTCAATTAATTTAAATGATATTTATTTACTCTTTTGTTATTATTAAGTTTAAATTATGCATTAAACCAATTAGTATATCGTATTTATACAGTAATTATTCAATATTCATTAAGTTATCAATTTTTTTAAAAATTTCAGTGCTATTTCCAGGCATTCAGATTGAATTCTAAAATTATTCATCATGTCTCTTGAAATAGAGAACGATCCAGGCTGGCAATATTTACGCTTAAACCGTGAACGCATGACAAAAGTAAGCTAGATATAAGTTTTAAATCAAAAGTAACAAATTTAGAAGTATTTAATTATAATGCGTAAATTTCAAAAATTGAAAATATGCAGGAGCAATCCATGCCATTTGACTCGAAGAAAGATGTTTGGATACCAGACAAGGAAGAAGGCTATGTAGCAGCACAAATTATTTCCACCAAAGGCGACCTAATTACAGTTAGCGTTGCTGGAAAAGAGGTAAAGTAGTGAATATTTATCATTCAATGTTATATTGACAATGCTATTATTAACATGTATTATTGCACTCTTAATAATAAAAAAAAGAATTTTCATTAAAGATAGTAGTGAAACAAGATTCAATCAATCCAATGAATCCACCAAAGTTTGAAAAAACCGAAGATATGTCCAATTTGACTATTCTCAATGACGCTTGTGTCCTGCATAACTTACGTGCGCGTTATAAGGAAATGCTTATTTATGTAAGTCAAACGTGAGTCTAATATTGAAAACATTTATTTGAAATGTGTATTTAATAAAATACGAAATCTCTTAAAAAACTCATCTGATTAATAACTGACTAACTTTATTCAAGTACTTTTTTCTAATAGTTTGATTTAATAGATATAAAATACATGAAAATCAGAAACAAACATAAAACAATAAATTACTTTGAAATAATTAGTACGAAAATTAATCATTTTGCCATATTTTCTATCACTTTTTCATATAAGAAGTATATTTACAGACATATTCTGGTTTATTTTGCATTGTAATAAATCCATACAAACGTCTACCTATCTATACGGATTCTGTTGCTACAATGTACATGGGTAAGCGGCGAAATGAAATGCCACCACATCTGTTTGCAGTATCAGATGAAGCATACCGCAATATGCTTCAAGATCATGAAAATCAGTCAATGCTTATTACTGGAGAATCTGGAGCTGGAAAAACCGAAAACACTAAAAAAGTTTGAAATTGTGACAATTTCTGATTAATGTTATAATTAATTCATCATTTATTTGAGTTGAGGTTTGTCACAAAAGTGATTACATTAATTCATCTTTTTTTATATCTGATGCAAACATTTTTTGAAAATAGTTTTCTAAGTAAATAAGATATCAATCAATACCATCGTTTTCAATAATAATAATAACTATTATTATATCTTCTAACTAGTAAAAACTAATTTGTTGGGTAAAATAAAGAGATAATTTTTAGGTAATTAGTTACTTTGCATCAGTAGGTGCTAGTCAATCACAAGCACTAAAAGCAAATGAGAAAAAGGTTACGTTAGAAGATCAAATTATTCAAACTAATCCAATTTTGGAAGCATTTGGCAATGCTCGGACTGTTCGTAATAATAATTCATCGCGTTTTGGCAAATTTATTCGAATTCATTTCTCAAAACTTGGCAAAGTAGCATCTTGTGATATTGAACATTGTATGATTGCAATATTTTTTAATAAAAACCATTGTAAAAATATTGAAATTTCCATTTAAAATCAATTATCATTATCATAGATTTGATTATTAATCCTTATTGATCTACCACCACTTTATAATCTTTCTCAAAGCACAGCTTAGATTTACTATTTGCAGATTTACTCGAGAAATCACGAGTTATTCGTCAAGCACCTGGGGAACGTTGTTATCATATCTTTTATCAGATGTTCTCAGATTATAAACCAGAATTAAAGTCATTATTGTTATTGGATCGACCATTACGAGATTACTGGTTTGTTGCGCAAGCAGAATTAACTGTTGATGGCATGGATGATGCAGAAGAGTTTAAATTAACTGATGAAGCATTTGATACATTGCATTTTTCTGAGGAGGAAAAATTAAATTGTTACAAACTCATGGCTGCTCATATGCATATGGGCATAATGAAGTTTAAGCAACGACCACGTGAGGAGCAAGCAGAGCCTGACGGAACTGAAGCCGCAGAAAAAGTAACCACTTACAATTCAAACAAAAATTTAAAAAAAAGTTTAATACCATTACTGACCTTTATTATTTACTGAAGTGAAAACAAAATGTGCCAAAACTATTAATTCGTTTTACTATTAATTATAGTGTAGTGTGGTATTTATAATTTTGATTATATTTATTGTTTTTAATCAAGGCAGCGAAAATGTATGGCATTGAAACAGAAGCTTTACTGAAAGCATTCACTCATCCACGTGTGAAAGTTGGCACGGAATGGGTAAATAAAGGTCAAAATGTAGATCAAGTAAGCTGGGCCGTGGGAGCTATGGGTAAAGCTATTTATGCACGTATATTTCACTGGTTGGTACGCAAGTGTAATGCTACCTTAGATCAGAAAGGCAGCAATCGAGACTATTTTATTGGCGTACTTGATATTGCTGGCTTCGAGATTTTTGACGTTAGTCATAAAAATGCGTCTTTTTCACTTTTTTTTAACTGCACATTTCATGATCAGTAATTTATTATTCAATGTATAATAACATCTATAACTTGACTTCAGTCGTAAAAATTTGATGGTTCCTATATTCATAATCTTATCGAGTAATCAATCTGTTATCCACTGACATATCAATTGTTTTTGATCTCTCTAAGTAATTATGCAAAGTAATTAAACTAATTGCCTAAATTTTCATTAATCAATTTTTTTATCGGTTACAAATTCTTCACAAAAACATTGCTATCATTATGAGTAATAATTAATTTTAGCTTAATTCTTTTGAACAATTATGGATCAATTTTGTGAATGAAAAGTTGCAACAGTTCTTTAATCATCACATGTTTGTTCTGGAACAAGAAGAATACGCCCGAGAAAATATCCAGTGGACATTCATCGATTTCGGACTTGATCTGCAAGCTTGTATTGAACTGATCGAGAAACCAATGGGAATCATATCGATGCTCGATGAGGAATGCATTGTCCCAAAGGCAACTGATCTCACGTTAGCGCAAAAGTTGAATGAACAGCATCTCGGCAAACACCCCAATTTTGAGAAACCAAAACCACCCAAAGGTAACATATTTGACTTACTACAAAATGATCTTCTCAAAATATGCGAGTGCATGCCTGAATACATCAATGACGTAAATCCACATTCCGTTTTTATTAATCACGTAAATACTAATACGACTTCATGTTTTAGTCAAAAATTATCAATAGACAAAAAAATGAACACTGAAGTTGATAATTACCAGTATTTTCAATAAATAATTTTGTATACATTCAGTATAGACTATTTTTAATACATCTAACATACAAAAGAATTAACAAAAAACATTAGTGGCTTTGGCATCTAAGTCAGATTAATTATTATATATAAGCAAGAATAGTTATCTTATATCATTGTATATCCAAACGAAATAAGCGTAATTTTTTTATCTATAGGCAAACAAGCAGAAGCTCACTTTGCCATGCGTCATTACGCTGGCATCGTACGTTATAATGTAATGAATTGGTTAGAAAAAAATAAAGATCCGTTGAATGATACTGTAGCTGCTTGTTTGAAAGCTTCATTGGGAAACAGGCTTCTGAATGAAATTTGGGCTGATTACGTGACCCAAGAAGAAGTATGTGTTCAGGATGTTGTTGTGATTTTACTCAACTCCATTATTTCAGCATCTCTTCACGCACTTTAATATATACATATACTATATATATTATACTGTGAACACTATAAAAATAAATTTATTGCTTAAAAGAAACATAAATCTTTTGAAGATTCAATACCTTGACATCACTGAAGTTCAAAATCAGAAATCAGAATTAAAAAACAGATAAAATTAGAGACAATAATTAAATAACTGATGTCAAGTTGACCCAATTTATTACAAAATAAAATGAAGTAACTAATATCAATCTGTTACAAAATGATTTTGAAAAATGATTAGGAATTCATGTAGAAACTGTGAACTTTCAGGCATCTCATGTTGCTAAAAGTTCCCAGAAGAAAAAAGGTAAATCCGGATCATTCATGACAGTGTCAATGCTATATCGAGAATCCCTCAACAATCTCATGAATATGTTATACAAAACTCATCCACACTTTATTCGCTGTATTATTCCTAACGAAAAAAAGAAATCGGGGTTACTTGATGCTGCATTAGTATTAAATCAACTAACTTGTAATGGTGTTTTGGAAGGTTAGTCATATTTATCACCGCGCAAATAAGTCATAAATTAAATAAGTTATAAACAAATTAAAATTAGAAATTAAAAGAGTCAGAAAATTGCGTCAATTCTGATAATAATAATAATTCAAGCAATTACGGTCATATTTTTGAAAATAAATATGATGCGCAAATAAATACAACTAAAATTTCTGTAAAATTTGATAGGAATCCGAATTTGTCGTAAAGGATTTCCAAACAGAACTATTTATGCTGATTATGTGCAACGTTATGCTATATTATGCGCGGATGAATCAAAATCAAGTTCCGATCCAAAGGAATGCACAATTAAAATGCTCCAACGTTTGGTAGATGAAGGCTTTTTGAAAGAAGAAATGTTCAAAATAGGACTTACTAAGGTAAACTTATTTTAAACAGGTAAAAAATACTCCACGTGCTATCTCAAGTTGATTTACGTAAAAGAAATTATAGCAAAAAAAAACGAAAGAAATTTTTTTTTGGATGTATAAAGAAAACTAAAAATGCCTGAGCTTTAAAATGAGAGAATTGACGTGGTTACGTGAAGTATAACTTAATAGCAGTAATACTTGCAGGTATTTTTTAAAGCAGGTGTATTAGCCCATCTAGAAGATCTTCGCGATGAAAGACTTTCGCAAATTCTTAGCGCATTACAAGGAAGAATTCGATATTTCTTCCAACAGGTAATTAGATACGAAATTTATTACTTCTATTTTTATTTAAAGTAAAAGTCAGATTGTAGCAGAAAAAGTGAAAAATGTTATTCTTGTAGATTCAAAATTGCAATGAGAACAGTTTTCTGAATTAGCAATTCTAATTTTTACGAGTTTTACTGCGCATGTTTAGTCTTTCAATAATAGTAATGATAATAATAATAATGATATTATTGATATTATTATTATCATTATCAATACTATTATTGTTGCTCATGACAAAAATTGTTATTATTATTGAATCAATAATTATTATTACTAACTTTTCGTTCTAGATTGATCTAAGAGATAGGCAGCAAAAGTGGGAAGCAGTTCAGTTAATCCAGCGAAATGCACACATATACTATGATGCCATAACTTGGGTTTGGCTGAAATTATTTCTTAATACGATGCCAATTGTACGAGAAAGTAAATTAGAAGAAACTTTCGGACAACTTGAAGTCAGTATCAATGCGTCAGAAGCGTCAATAGCTAAAAAACGTGATGAAACAAACGCGTTGCAAAAAAGATTAGAATTGCTTCAGGCAGAACGTAGCGAATTATTGCTAGAGATCAAGAATTCTAGATCAGGAAATTTGGAAACAGAAGAACAAATTGAAAAATTAGCGGCAGAAAATATTGAACTTGAAAATGTGTTGGACTTGGCAAATAATAAATTAACTGAAGAAAAACAACGCACCGCTGCTGAAATTGAAGCAAGAAAGAAAATGGAAGCAGATTTAGAAAATCTACGTGGAATGACACAGAATATTGAATTGGGAAAAAGAAAGAGTGAGGCATTGAAGATCACGCTTGATAATCAGATCAAAGCATTGAAGGAGGAAATTCAGCAGCAGGATGAAACAATTACAAGAATAACGAAGGAGACGAAACATCAAGAAGATTTATGGAAGAGACTTGAGGATAATGTAAGATCACAAGAAGAACGCAACAGTCAGAATGATTCTATAAGAGAAAAATTGAGAAAAATGCTTCAGGAGTGCGAAGAGCGATTTGAACATGAAAAATGCGTTCGAGATGAAGCAGAAAAAGCTAAACGAAAAGTTGACGGAGCACTTAGGATCGCTCATGAAACACTAGAAGAAATAGAAAAACAGAGACGTGATTTGGAAAACAAATTACGCAGAAAAGAAGCAGATGTACGTGCAACAGAAATACGTAAGGAAGAGTTAGATGTAGCAGTAGTTCGAATCCTTAAAGAAAACAAGGAAAATGATGCTAGAATAGAAGAACTTGAAGCAGTAATTGATGCAGAACGTCAAGTACGTGAGAGAAATGAACGAAAACGTTTTGATCTACAGCGTGAGTTAGATGAAAACACAACTCGCTTAGAAGAGCAAAGTATTGCAAATGGTCAGCAAGTTGAAACAGGAAAAAAATTTGACGCTGAAATTGTTAAATTACGTCGAGAACTGGAAAATGTTAAGATTAATGAAGAAACAGTTATTGCAATGGCACGAAAGAAAAATTCAGATGCTATATCTGAACTAAATGATCAAATTGCGCAAGTGCGAGCGAAAATTGCACAATCACAAAATGATCGTACTAATTTACGACAACAAATCGATAAGCAAAATAATCAGTTAGATTCAGTAAGCAAAGAGAGATTAGATTCTGAAAGAAAAGTGAAGGAAGAACAAGAATTGCTTGCCGATTTGCAAATGAAATGTGATGAACAGTTACGAACATTGGCTGATTTAACGACACAACGTAATCGCTTACTCAATGAAAATGAGCAGCTGAAGCAGTCGATACATGAAGAAAATGAGCAGATTAATGCATTTACAAAGTACTCTAATATATTTAAAAAAATTAAAATTTAACCTCACGTGTACTTTGTAATTTTACGTTTACATCCCGTGTAATTTTATTTTACATTCATTAATTTGTAATTGAAGAATGAATTCTTATATCATTATTTTTAGAAACAAAGCACAATTTGTCACTGAAATTGAAGAAGCTGAACATCTGGAAAGTAAACAGAGCAGCGAATTGCAAAATGTATCTACAAACGTTAAAAATATGCAACGTGAATTAGATCGTTTACGTGGTAAAAATATTACACTTGTACAACTTTACTTTTTAAGAAAACACAAGTTATTAATATTTTTGCATCAAAAATTAGTTATTTAAAGGAAAGACTAAGTTTTCATTTGAAATCTCAACTCTCATAATTCATTGCAACTAAAAATTAATTACCAATTAATAAACTTAAATTTAAACATGCTAAAATATAATTTAGAACTACTGGATGATAAATTAGAAGAAAAGGCAATGCTAAGTCGACAAATTAGCAAAGCAGACTTAGAAATTCAGCAGTTAAAAGCAAAGCTAGATGATAATGGAATGGTTCCAATGGAAACAATAGAAGACGTGAAACGTAAGCAAGAATCGGACGTAAGTTCACTGCAAAATGCCGTGGATATAGCAAAAATTAAGTTGAATGAATTGGAGAAAATCAAACTTGAACTACGAATGACTCTCGATGAAGAATCTCGAAAGGTGCAATAGTTTTATATTTTTTCAATTAGAATAATATTACTACAATTTTAGCATACATTTTAAAGCATATATTTAAGCATACAATTTTACACAAATACTGTGTATAATTAATTCGTTATTAACACGGAAAAACATATGCGACAGTAAAGTAATACAATTTCTGGCACTTCCTTTCCAGGTAGAACATCAGTTAGCAATAATAACTCCGCTAGAAAGGAAGCAAAAGCAACTGGAAACAGAACTGGCGAACTGGAGACGTAAAGAAGACGACTTGAACAAAGAGTTAGATAGTGCTCAACAAGAAAGTCGAAATGTTTCTCTGGAATTATTCAAAGAGCAGAGCAAAAACGATAATTTATCAGTGAAGTTTGAAGGAATTAAACGAGAAAACAAAACTATCAGTGATGAGATTGCTGATTTACAGCATCAATTAGCAGATCGATGTAGGACTTTTATTAAATTTGATGATAAAAAAATCAACAATCAATCATAACTGATCAGTTATTTGATCTGATTGAATAAATAAGGAAAAAGTAGTGAGATAATTGGAGCATAAAATCTTCATGCAATTTATTTTATATCTGTGAAGTGAAATGAGACGGAAAGTCTATAGTACCATCCACAAATTTCATTAATAATTAACAAAATTTGAAACTAATTTTCAAATAATTTGTAAAAATTACAAGTTCTAATGCAGCACAATTAACACATGGTATGGATATGATGATTCATCGTTTGCAAAGCGAAAAAGTCGAACTTCAGCAGATGCTTGATGAAACAGAAGCTGCACTAGAAGCTGAGGAAATTAAATTTGCTCGGATAATGACTGAAATAAAGCAGATAAAATCTGAAGCTGAAAAACGGATTCAAGAAAAAGATGAAGAACTTGAAAATGTTCGCAAGAATCTGCAGCGTAATTTGGAAGCTATTCAGGTCAACTGAAAGCGAAAATTGATGATTTGGGTTTCAGATTCTTTTTTTTTAATCGTTATAATTTGGTATGTATTTAAACTTCAATGTGCTTTGAAAGTATCGAATACCAACCGTATATATTAATGGAATTTGATTACTTCAGGCAGAAACAGAAAGTGAAAAAAGAGAAAAGTTAGCATTACAAAAGACTTGCAAGAAGTTGCAGCAAGACGTTACGGTTAATTTTTGCAATTAATTATGTTATCTCAACTGACTTGGCAATTTTGAATTTATTTAAGTAAGCCAGAATTTGTCCAATTATTATGGATTATTTTAGAAAAATAATTTACTGAAAATTATCACAAAGTGATGTTTTTTCATCACTGATTAAAATACTTATTATTAATTTTGAAATGAAGTATAAACAATTATTATAGGAATTGAGCATAGCAGCAGAACACGCAAATAAGGCAAATCGCGACACAGAGAAGAATCTGAAACGTTACGCAGAAAAAGTAAGTGAACTTCAAGTTGCGATCGATGAAGAACAACGCCTCCATGAAGAGAGTCGAGAAAATTTCAACTTAGCCGTGAAATCTTTAAAGGCAGCGCAAAGCGAGAAGGAGCACAATGTTGCTAAAATGCAGCAGGTCTTATAAGCATTTCAAATAATGACTATTATTTATTTATCTTGATTGAGGAATTAAAAAGTACACTAATAGAACACTTACAAGGCAATAAATGACAACTTTTTATTCCACGGAAATAGCAAGCTCGAATACAAAGCATTCAGATGTCAGCAGAAAGTTGAGAGATGGATTATTCTCGTAACTGGCATTCAAGTCTACTGCAAATATAAGATGAATTTGGCATTAATAATATTTTGTGCTAATAATTTCCCGTATTTGGTGATTCAAAATAAATTGATAATGATAATTATTATTATTACGATAATAACTTTGCTTATTTCTCAGAAGGCGTATGGATAATATTAATAATAATGAACAATTTTTTTCTGTTTTCTTGAATTACAGATTGAACAAAGCAATAAAGAAAAAGAACTGGAGCTTGAAGAATTACGCACACAGATTCATAACTTAGAGAGCGAGAATAACGAGTTGTTAAGGTCAAGGAAAAAATTGGAATCAGATGTTGTGCTAGTAAAGGTTTGTTTATTTTCAGTAATGATTAAGTTTTGGATTATCTTTTGAAAAATTTAAAACAAACAAAATAAATTTGTTTGAATTTTAGTAAAATACTGCGAAATACTTTTGAAATAAATTTGGCAAATGGATTGATTAGCTTTTTGAGGTTTTTTGAACTTAAATTTACAAATGATAAGACTAATATTGGAAAAAAACTTGGCATTTATTGATAACATGTTAGATACTTTTTAGAATGAAATTAGAGAAATAACCGAAGAACTCCAGAAATCGCAAGCAGAGGCGAAAGCAGAAAGTTTGAACGCAGCACGCACATCTGAACAGCTTCTTCAAATCCAAACACAAAATCAGAGCTTAGAACGAGTAAATAAAAGTCTAGAAATGGAAATTAAGGATTTACAGAGTAAAATTGACGATGCAGAAAACGTGATCGTACGTGGAGGACACAAAATAGTTGAAAAATTAGAACAAAGAAAGAAAACTCTAAATATGGAGTTGGAGAATGAAAAAGAACGATATCAAGAAGCACTTAAGAATGTAGCAAAACAAGAACGTAAACTGCAAGAGAGCGAATTTCAAATTGATGAGAACAAGAAAAAATTTGCATATATGCATGAAATGATTGAAAAATTACAAAGTAAAGTAAAAGAGCAAAAAAGACTAATTGAAGAAAAAGTACGTTGCTGCAACTATTTATTGTATTTATTACTAAATTACTAAATTTTTTCACATTTAGTCCTTTTAATATTTGGCTAAAAATTGAAAAATTACATCAAATTCGTATTTTAAATGATTTATTTATTATGTAATATTACTAAGAATTTGTATTTTCCATAATATTTTAATTGGTTTAGAAAATATTGTTACAAAAATATCTATTAATGCTTTTATTCACAATCAGTTTCCACAATTGAAGACAAAAAATTTCAGGAAGAAGAATCAAATTTGGCTTTACAGAAATACAAGCAATTACAGATAGCTTTAGAAGATGTAGAAGAACGAGCTCAGATCGCAGAGAATAACCTTCAAATAAATCGTACTAAACGTCAAGCTACAACTGTTTCGTGATATCCTCATAATATAATCATGAATTTTACAAGCAATCCTTATTACCTAATAAATATTGATATTATATGCAGCAAATGTTATGTTGCAATGTGCTCTTTCTATACGTACTAAAAAATAATTCAGATAAATAGCCTTACTGCAACAATATATACTGAGAATAAAAATTACTGAAGATGTTTGATTCAGTTTTGCTTTTGTCTACTTCTAAGAAGCATAACAAATAATATTTAATCCTCCTGTCAAAACATTTAGCAGTGCGTATGTTTTGACAGGAGGATTAAATACGAATTTGATGTAATTTTTCAATTTGAAAAGTGTTTAAGCTGATATAGAATAAAGTATTTAAAAATAATGCATTTATTCTTAACTTACGTTTCTGTTCCCAAAAATTGGAAGTAAAAAGAATAAGTGTAAAAAATGAATATTAAAAAGATATTTATTACAAAAAATGACTAAATTGACGATGTATAATAAAGCTATTCAAGAAGAAAACAAATACTTTGCAGAAAAATCGTAGTTTATGTTTGCTAGTCAAGAAATTATTGAAATTTAATCAGCTTCATATTATTAGTAAGTACCGGAATTTAATTTCATTCAATAAATACTGGAACCAAGTTTTATTTTACTCGTCGATTCAGCTTGGCAATAGTAACAGTAAATGGAATGCATATTCAGAATAGAAATATAAGAAAATGTATGCAAAAGGAAATTTACAAATTTAAAATTACTTGCAATGAACTGAACACTTTAAAATTTTAAAGTATGAAGAAGTAGATTAGACTGATTGCAAAATTCAATTTAGCACTAATTTATTTTGTGAAAATGTTTTGAAAATTAAATGATAAATGACATGTGTCAGATGGTTTTATATTCTGATGACCAATGAATCTAAAGCACATCTAATCGGATTCAGAACAATGAATATCATTTTAGTCAACAGTAAAATAGAATAGTTTTAGAAGCAATTAAAGTAAAAATTAAAAAATAGTAACTAAATTTTTTTTTTCAACTTCAATTTTATTACTTTTAATTGATTAAAATTCAAATTTAAACCGAAAAATTTGCTGAAAAAAATACTTCAGCAAATCTCAATTTTTATGCTTGCATTTATCGGACATTTGACCCCGACAATCGCAAGCCAAATATCGTTTTCTTAAATCAGAAAATGAAGAGAGTAAGCATAGCTTTCCAGACTCTTACAAATAACTGATCAGATTTGAGAAGAGATTGTTGCATAGTAAGTTAGTTGGTTGTAATGCTTTTTCATCATGTTAAAAAGAGAAGCGAATACATGCGAACAGAACCAGAACCTGAGGATGTCGCAGTGATGGATTGGTTGCGAAGTACATACTAACATCTCTCCTGTTCTGTCCTATTGACCTTAAAGGATTCTCAGAATGTGAATCTTTTCCACTGATTCACAACAAAAATACATTTTCTATTCGATAAGGAAAATACATTGCTCTTTTCTCAGCAACTTTTTTATTTCTAGTGTTGAATTGTTTATTGGAGTTAAATTATATTTTTGATTACTTCAGCCACACCGCTGCACTACATAGTGAATTTGTTAATAAAAGTGTAAGATATGTTTCCTACTGGAAATCCGGCCTTCACATCACCTAGTCAAAACAATCCTGATAACAGCGTAAACCTTGCAGCACTTTATTTACACCCATCTTTGGGTATTTCCAATCAAGCATATACTCAGTTTTATCAGCAGGTAATCATCGTACTTCCTTCATCTCATTTAGCTGATTAGAAACTTGTGCAGTCTGAGGCATCTTCTGTTTGTATGCAAAAACAAATCAAAATAAGTATTTTTATTTCTGTGAAATCTTGTGTTTCAATGAAAACTTATCATTCTTTCAAATCCATACAGTATTATTGTGAACCTTCAATCCGTTTTCATTCAAAATGGCATCTGTTTACTCGAATTGGACTTTAGTTGCAGGCCCAGGGTCAAGCACAGCTTGCCCAACATCAGCAGCTGCAGCGTCACTTTGAACAGTTAGTTGCAGTTCGGGCTGCTCAAAATGCTCACGCTCAATTACAAGCATTTCAGGTTGATCTCAAAGTACAGTCAGTAAGATTTAAATGTAGACAAGCTAAGTATTTTATATCATTTAAATAGCTTGTCAGTAAGTACTAAAAAAAACCTTATATTTGACTTAAGATCCGGAATTACTTGTTGCCCATTAACTCTTGAGTTTTTTTGAGCAGCAGCAAGCCTTTCAAAATCAACAAGTGCAAGTACAAAGCCAGCAGAAATTGCATGCTGCTCATCAACAAAATCAAGCCCAAGCAGTTCACATGCAACGTTTTAATGCGTTACGACAGAGCGGTCAGCATTTACCACATTCTCATGCAATAAGAGATGCTGCGGTTGCTGTTGCAGGATCTCGTCAGGTAGTGTCATCATTCCTATCTATCTCCTTCTGATAAAAATGTATAGGAAATATTTAAAAGTGTACAAAAAAAGGTCTCTATAAATGGGTAAGGAAGTTTGTTAATTGTATGGTCATCATTGGACTTGATCTTTTAGTATTTCGTTTATTGTCTAATCTTCTCTCGCAAAGTCGGGTCTTCTATTTTGTGCAGGAAATTTATGTTTCTTGTTATCGACATTGATATAATGGCACTATTTTTTATAGGAATTGCAAGTGGAAGTCGATGCTCGACGGCGGCGCTCATTAATCGCGGATTTTATGATTGCACCAAATTCTACACCATTTTTAGGTACTTTAAGATGACCGATTTTCATGTTATAGAAACACTTTTTTTACTGACAAATCTCTGAATTGTGTTGAGACTTGCATATAGTAATGAAATTTGCCAAGCACCTATTCTAGACGGAAGAGGGCGTTCAGATTCCATAAATAGCAATATTATGGGAGAAACTAGAAAGTCAGAAGCAGTGCCTAATGAGTTCGTTGTAATCACTGATGAAACAACAGAAAGGAAGAAAAATTCGATCACTGATCGCTTGGAAGCAGTTGAAAAAGAGAAAAAGCTTGTCGATAATCAAATTACAATCATACAGCGTAAAAAAGTAATGTTATTTTTTGGCTTAAAAACTCTGAAGTTTGTATGCTTTTAATTCAGTACGCGTTATTTATAAAATTCCAGTCTGTTAGTCTATTCTCAGAACGGAAATTAAAAAAGTTTGCATATCATTTTAAGTTGGGATTATTAAAATCTACAGAGCGCGAAAAATTATGTATCAAATCATTGACCTAAAGTTTCTATTTTATGTAAAATAAAGAAAAATTTGATGAGTTCAGGAAGAATATGAGAGTGAACTAGCTAAAATATCGAACGATAATGAGGATAATGATAAGGAAAATGACGATATTGCTGAAGATATTGATTCAATGAGTCTTGTTGAAAGAATTTATGCAGAAAATCGCAAAAAAACTGTTCGATCTGAAGCTCACATTCCTTTGTCATTGGCGCCCATATCTGGAACAGTTGTAAGTTTTTAGTTGTATAGATTTCCTCGGCTGTAAAATTGATTTTTTGGTAGAAGTTGGAAAATATAAAAATTTCAGGTTTATTCTTGGATTTGCCGCGTTTTTAATTAATTATTGTTCTCAATTTTAGCCACAATATCGAAATCCGTGGGATAGCCCGTTATTGAAGGAAACGATTGAGAGATATAAAACTGTGAAACCTTTTTTGGTGAAAATGTTAACAGAATCACGACAAAATGAATTATTAGCGCAGAAATATTATGCCGATAAATACAATATTATGTATGCAGAATGGTTAAAAAAAGATGAAAAATATTGCAAAAGTCAAAAAAAAATGTAAGCACTCTTATTGCTACACAGTTGATATTATCGATAGTATTTATATTACTTGGGAGGGTAATAAGTGTAGGGTTCTTTGCAGTTTCTATATGATTCGATCAATGTTGTTATCACAAAAAAAGTGCGGTTCTGAGAAAATGATGAAGAATAATAATATCCGTCATGAAATTTTAGTTTAACTTTTTGCATGCTAAAAAAACTTTTTAAGGACCTACGTTTCTTTAGAAAGAAATATTTGTTATCAGGGAGAAGAAAAGATGCGCTGCTGCAGTTTTAGACTTCATTTGCTATTTTTGTTTTTTCTTTGCTTTATTCTTTCTTTGATTTGAGTTGGGAAATATTACCATTTTCCATTTTCAGTGCTCGCGATGAGAAACATCGTGAAATATTTGAAAGGACATTTCCTGAAATCAGAAAGGCTCGAGAAGAGCGAGAACGGTGCGGAAGGATTGGAATGTCATCGGAACAATTAGAACAGGTCAACTTTTGTTTTATTCAACTTTGTTTTTCTTTTTGTAATAGGAATCAGAAATGATATTATTTGGAGATATTGATTGCAATGTTCTTCATAATTCTGTATATTTCAGTCAATGTAATTAAAAAAAATTCAATAAAGAACCACAATGAAACAGTATGGAACATATGGTTCTGAAAAATAATAAAATTTATAATAATATCCGTCCTGAAATGTTGGTAAACTTTTTGAAGTTTTCACGTTTTTTCAGAAAAAATGTTTGTTACCATAATTTAATTCAGGATGAAGAATATAAGCGAAGACGCGCAGCTGCAGTATTACCTCCAATGATGTTGAGCTCGAAAATGCGTAATGGGCCATTTTATGAGGATCTAAACGGAGTTGTTTCAGATGCGCTTGAAAGTCATAATACTCATATTGATAATTTCTTAGGGAAGTGGTCTGACGATGAAAAACAGGTGGGCTAGTTTCCGGCTCCTCAAGAAGATACGACTAGTTCAGCTTTTCTGAGTGAATTAATCAGTAATATTCGTTTTTCTACTTTTTTTACTTTTCAGATTTTTAAAGAGCAAATAGGAATATATGGTAAAAATTTCGCTGCTATATCGGAATTCTTAGACCGGAAAGATGTGAAAGACTGTGTTCTGTACTATTACTTAACTAAAAAACGTCAGAACTACAAAGCATTGTTAGGGAAAAAACGAAAAAAACCTCCAAGGTCTTACAAGCCACCAGTTATGCCGCGACTTGAAGAAATAGCACAGAAAGCACCGCAAGATGCGAATGACATTACAAGTATAATTTTTTCCTATTACAATCATTTTCAGTGACTGAGCTCTGTATTTGTATCATATATGGAGTTCAGCAAATTATACGATTTTGTTTAGAAACTTATTGTCATATTTGTATGTCTTGTAAAATATCCATACAGAATTTAGACATATTAATTCTTTTTAAAGCTTGTTGTGATATGGTGATTTACAGTTGTTGGTTCTCGTGAACTTGAGTGCTGTATTTGCAAAACAAAAGTGAATAGTGGTTCAAACACTGGTCGTATTATTACTCGTCTAACATTGGATGCTTCTGGTTATGATGCTAGTTCAGCAAATGAAATAGATATTTGCGTATGTCAAAAATGTAAAGCAAAGGGAATTAAACCGAAAACTGTAACGTTAGTTTCAATTTTCAATTTATTATTATTGTATTTAATGACATTACATCATTGTAATGAGCATTAAAATAAGCTTTAGTGAATTCATTTCATTTTTTATAATAATGAACTTTCGCTTGATTCTAGACGATGTCAGATCGGTATATGTCATAATCCGCGTCGTAAAGTAAAACCGACGCGACCGATGCCAGCTAAGTGGAAATTGATCAGTGACGAGCAGAGACTTTTTCTGATGCATCAAATGCTGATTCCGGAAGATATTTTGAAATGTTGTCCTGCATGCCACAAAAAAATCTCCAAACAGCTGGATATGGTAAAATTTTCGGATACTAAGAATTATCATGGTAATAACATTGTATTTCATCCGTTCAGATGGACCAAAAGTTATGTTGTTTGAGTGATTCAGTCAATATTTATTGCAATTGTTCTTTTTGATCTAAGATTTTCGATGTTGCTATTCATTTTCTTTTTTGCAAATCCAAAAGATTTTTCATTAAACCCGTTTCCTTAGTATATGAAAACGCTGAGAAAATTACGATGAAAACCATATGCTAATTTGTTGTATTCGTTATAGCCTGTTAATAGATAACTCTTGCAGATTATTTCTGGAGAACTAAACCAAGAAATGGACGCATGGTTGAAATCTTCTTCTGTATTTTGGAACAATGATGAGTTGAAAACATTGCTTGATGCGGTGGAATCAATGGATATAAAAGACTGGAATGTTGTTGCGGAGAAATTAGGAAATAGATATAGTGTCAAGGTATTAATTTGATTTTGTTATGAGAAAAATTTTGTACTTTAGTATTAGTTTCAACAGTCTTGAATTTCGGTTTTAATTTCATTGTTACTGTTGCTCAAAAGACTTTTTGTTAATTTAGCAATGCCAGGAACAGTATGAAAAAGTTTGTGAGGAAAATGTTAGGAAAGAATTGGAAAGTGAAGACGACGGCAGTGAAGATGATAGAGAAAATTCACATTCGAATCGAGTAGCTGAGATTAAAAGTGTTACTGGTGAAATTGAGCGGGATCCGAGGTTCGCACTTTCCATTCCGTAGGTTTTGCCATTACTTGTACAGAAACGTATGAAAAAATTAAAAGTAAATTGAAATTTATCTGAAGTCTAAAGCCTTTCTAGAAGATACAATTTACTTTGAAAATCTGAAGCAAGCCAATTCCTATTTTCCGCTGGAAGCTTTTAGTGAAAGTGTATCGAATTTCGCCTTTATTAAGCCTGTATCATACATTAATAGGTGGCAATCTGTTCTAGTGTTGAAAGCAGTTCAACATTAACTCCTGATGAAGTAGTGAATCAAGGAGATTGTGTCGTCCTTTTTCCAACGGCTGCAAAATCACCGTCAACTCACTTGTATAAACCAAGATTTCGAGGTACTGCAGGAGCAGCTTCAGAGGGTCCAAATTCTTCCGTCGATAATTCTCTTTTCCTTATATCCTCCTCAAAAAAGGAACCAGAAGTCGCACTTGCACCATCTCCGTTGGCACATCAAAAGTCTGACGCAAGTGCTTCTTCATCGGAGTTTTCTAACCTTGAAGATTGCAAAGCAGCCACTCTCACATCACAGTCATCTGTCGTTGGAAGCGCACTTTTTGCAACGCTGACGTCATCTACTCCAGATCCGACATCTCGCTCATCTACTCAGGTTCTTCAAGTGACCACAATGTGTTTTTTTTAATGAAAAAATATAAAATCTTTTCAGAGTACAAGATCGCTCGGTAAGTTTCAATTTAACTGATATGAGTACCATTCTTTAGTTATTGATTTTGAATAATATAAAGTTTCTTTCCTACTAAATAATTTTAACAGCGCCAAATTTAATTATCTCGCTTTTGTCGCTTTTTCTGTTTTTAATGAGTTTTTTAAGATAGAAACCGACAAGTCATCTCAGAGTTCCATTTCTGTAGCTAAGTCATCAACTCCAATAGCTACCCAAACATTGCCATCTACTGTTAGCAATGCTTTCAGAGGCTCGATCACTCAAGGTGTGATGTTTTTATTTCTTGTTCCTAATTTCTGAGCATAAAATCCATATGATTTGAGTCCTTTACAACTATGATTAAGCAACAACATCATATTGTATTCTCGCTGAAGAATTTTTTACTATAACGATTGATTCAATAACATTTGTTTTAAATTGCATCGACTCTTTTTAAAATTTAATGAAATTCAAACAGTAAAATTTGTGGGTTCTTTTTATTATTTGTACATCACTTCAGGAACTCCTGTAATGAGGCCACTCTCTCCTTCTGTAATGAGATCGCCATCTGGGAATGACTTGATAGCAGATAAACTAAAGCAGATACAAATGTTTTCTACAGAGGCAATCTCTGCTGGATCATCTTTAGTCGCAGGAAATAATATCTTGGCACCTTCTGTGCCATCAGTCCCCACACCAACTTTGCAACCAAACGCAAACGTAGCTGCTGCAGCTGCTGCCTTCCCATTTTTGCAGAATCCGTTAGTTGCCGCTGCGACAGCATTTCCAAACGCTGCATCGGATCCTAATATATCACCTTTTACTGCATTTTACAATCAATTCACTACACTAGATCCTACAATGCAAGTGAGTATCATAATGAAGTTTTATAAATTCTTCCTATTTTTTTCACATGGTTTTCTTACAGTATGCGATGACGATGAAGTTAATGCAACAGGATTATGAGCGTCGATTAGCTGCAATTAGAGGTCTTAATTTTTTATGCTATAACAATTAAAATACTTTTATAATATAAAATTTGGTATTATTACATATTCAAATCCATCGATTTAAAAATTTGTTAATTCGATTTCTATTTGAAATCGACACTAGTTACAGTGTTAATTTCAGATTTATAATCTTTTTTTCAGGCACCTTTATTGATCAGTATCGGCAGCAAGCGTTGGGATTAAGTCTTCCTGAACAGCAACAGCTGCAGAGCAACCAACAACAACAGATAAATGCATTAGCAAATGATCAAGCAAAATATTTGGTCCTTTTTTCAGCAAGTTGTAAAATTTTATTCATTTATATCATCCAAATAACGTGGAAAACTGAACCCTGATTTTTATAGCTCTGGCTGCAAATAATGCAGCAGTCTACAAACGTTAAATTGCTACAACAGCAACAGCAAGCAGCATCTCAAACAATGAATTTGCAACGTACTCCCACACCAAATACTTTACTCTCTACATTGGCAACACCAGCAAGTGTGCGCTCAGCAGTTGCATCACATTTTAGTGGGCAACAAAATACTGAACATCAGCAACAAACAAAACAAGGAATTGCAACTACAGTATCCACAAATTTGCCTGGCAAAGTAGCAACCGATAATACGGAGCAGCAACGTACGAACATCCAAACATTTTGTACATCAACTACTCAACTCTATAATGATTTTCATAATGCTGAACAAATGCGCAAAGAACATGATGAAAATGCACGACAGATGGAAGCACAGCAAAAACGGGTTAGAATTACTGCTGTGAGCTTGTTATCCAATATTCACTACTGCTGTTGTCGCTCAATATTAGGAAAAAAAAAAGGGTAGCTGTCTATAATTTTTGAAAATATCTTTTGTAATATATATAATAGGATAACACTTATTATTTCTACTTTAGCTGGAAGAAATACGCTACATTGAGCAACAGCGAAGAAGAGTTCTGGAAGTAAAGTTTGAAACTCTGGTTTTGGTTTTTCATGTGCTAAAAATACATTTAAAAAAAATCTGGATTTGATGCTCTTAAATAAGTTAGTGAAAATTGAAATACCTTATAGATATCAAAAATAAAATAAATAAAAGATGACAAAAGTAATGTTGTTTGATTTTTTTTTCTTTTTACAAATTGTTAAATTTAACCAAATAAATTCTCCAAAGAATTATTTGCAGGAAGAAGCGCGAATAAATGATGAATTGAGTCGGATTTCACAAATAGATTATCCTCGTGCTTTGCGTTCACAGGATAGCGAAGCTGTTCGTTCTAGCCTACAGGCTATTGAACGTCTGAAAGAACGACGTACAGCAATGCAACATTATCTACGGGCTTATGATGAGGGATTGAAGTCGCTAAGTAGTGAGTGTATTTTTAAACATTATTTTTGTGTTTTGTGAAACAAATTATGTAGCTATAACTATTGCATACATTTTCTTTAATGACAACAGCATTCTACTTATTTATAAAAATCCTGATAATGTAATATACTTCAAGAACATAATTTTATTAAAGCATAATATCAGCAAATACTTCACTGTCATTTCTATATTTTGGTAACTTATGCTTTTATAGCAAGAAGTGGAGCAGTTTGTTCAGGTCCTTCAGGAGTTATAGTAAAAGGCGCAAGTGATGAGCGTATAATGACTACTGCCGGTCTTGTTAGCAAAGGTGCTGTGAAAGAATTTCCACCGTCAGTGTCTAGAAATAGTATGCAACAATCTTCAACTTCAAATATATCGAGCCAAGGTCTTATTGGCATAAAGCGAACATTAAATGATTCTGCTTTGGCAGTAACAATCGAAGGACGAGTAAGTATCAAGATTTCAACGTGTCATTGTGTATTTGTTGCATGATTCAAAATCGTAGTTAGCGTAAATAGTCATTAATGGTATATTTTTTGCTGAGAACTATTGAGGAGATTCGTAAAGATATGTCTTGATTTGTTTATGTTGTAACTTGATCCGATTCTTGTAATGCTTTTTTATGAAACTTATGTGAATGGAATTAAACTTTATTGTTTCAAAATGGATAAAATTTATTACTTGTAAATTGATAAGTAACACATTCATTCTTTTTTTACAGCCTAGTGCATCAAGTCTTTCCCCAGCTACATCTGAAGCAAATGTAACAAGTCGTCGTTCACGTGCTGATTCTATCGGATGTCGAAAAGGTGAATTGCTTTGCACTGCAAAGTTTTCTTCATAGAAATGTTTAAAGTAGTATAAAAATTAGGTCAGTTGCTTAATGTTTTCCTCCAATCTTTGTTTATAGGACTAGAGAGTAATATGTTCGATTCAGGACAGGCATCTTTGATGTATCGTTCTAACTCTCATAATATTACTGATGATGAGTTAAGTCGCGGTGATCAACGAAATATACAAAGTGGTGGTGAGATGAGGCGTAAATCAGGTACTTTGTTTTTTAAAACGAAAAAACAAATGCACATTTCTGAATAAACGAAGTTCCATTTCTGTGACATGACTTCTAAAGCTTGCTAATGTCTGAATAAACCTCTAGAAATTTCATCAATACGCTTCGGAAAAAAAATTAAGACAGAAAATTCACAGGTATCCATACTGTATATCTTCCATCTTTGCCTGATGTTCATCACACCATAAACGCTAAAACAGCAGCAGGTCAGAAACTTGGTAATTCACAAACAGTCACTGGTGCTTCCCGTCATAGTAGCTCGATCTCTCATTCGCAGTCATTTGCGTCATCGTCATTATCTCGACCATCTCTCTCTCAACAGCTCCACCACTTTCCTCACTTTATACCTGCTTTGCCGCAGCATCAAGCTAGATTCTCTACACCCCAATCTATCTCTACTCCTGGTAACATATCTTCACACGTACTTCCATCATCCACCGTCTTTGGGTGTCCAGTTGTTGGTCCCGCGAACTACTCATCTGGAGTACACACCTCAGCTTCCACTTTTATTTCACCCAGGACACCAGTCTCCATCAATCTAAATTTAACGATATCGCATCCAGCTCATGCTCCATTGCATAATGCATCAAATATAACTATTCCTGCACCTGTCGCTTCTTCACCTTTTCAGGTATTCATTTTATTTTCGTGCTAAAATTTTCGCCGATATATCTCACATTCCAGATTCAACTGAAGAAGGATATGAAATTTAATAAATGATGAGTACAGAGTTAAGGAAAAAAGTTGTTCGATTTTACTTTTCTTATTTTTGTCAATAATAAAAAGTCTAAGCAAGCAAAGAAATTATGATGAAACGTTATTTGATGATCACCATGTTTTTATAGTGAAATATTTTCCAAGTGTATGATTTATAACGTTGTCATTGGAGAATAATCAGTAAAATTGAAAAAGTATAAGCTCTAAAGTACCTCTTGCTTATTATTTTTTCATTTCACTGATAATAATGAGTATCTTAAATAGCGTTTAGTACAGTATAATTCAGTTAAGTTTATTTTTCTGATTGTACTTCTTATTTTGGTTTTGAAATATCATCAAAAATTTCACTGTGCCCGCTATAAATTTTTGCAGGTATCAGTATTAGAACCTCCATCGAATACGTTTTTGTTAACTATTGCTAATTCATTAAAATTCCAGCCACTTGTTACCGCAGATTCCAGTTCACCAAAATTCCAGCCATCTATTCTTGTTCCTGGAAGTACTTTGAGTGTGTCAGCTACATCGTCGACTACTACGACTTCAGTAGAAACTACTGATACCACAACAAAAGTGAAAGTAGAGGTAACAGATGATAACAGACCAGTTTATTTTTTTTTTCGTTCAAAAGGGAACAGTTATTTTAATGTTTCCATATACAGGCGTAAATAAGATTTCAAAGTTACGATCATTGCAGAATGAAGAAAGGACAGTATCAGTAGAAAGTCAACAACGGTCAGAATCGAGGGCATTCATTAACTACGAACCACTCTCTCCTGATACGGCTGATGCTGTACCTACTACTCAAACAGGTCTTGCTTTCATGAATTGAGTTCTGCATTTCTTAGAAGATTAAATTTCGCATTATGTTTAGCCATTCGACTAAACTTGTTCTATCATTTTATTTATTTTTTTATTACTATAGTCTTAGAATCCAAAAACTGAATTTCCTAGTCTTCGCTCGTTTTCTTCTGATTTTCTTTTTTAATTTATTGTCAGTTTCAGTCATGGATTCATAAGTTTTTTAATTATAAATCAATGATAGATGCATTTTCATTACGAAACTTTTGGCTCATTCACTACATAATTTAAAATTTTATCATTGATATAAAATTTTATCGTGAAAAATTAAAGATTCCTGATTTCAGATACTTCGACTGAAGAAGCTTCGAATTTGCCTCTTTTCTCGTTTCTGAACTTGCCAGATAATGGAAATGGTGCGCTTAGTACTTCAACTATACAACCTGCTGTTTCATCGCTAAATGATTCGCAACTTAATGCAAGGCAGACTCCAACAGCATCTGTGATTTTGCCTCAGCTACCAACTGCGGTATCAACTGGTATTGTAGTAAGTGGTAGTACCATGTTGCCTAGCAAACCACCACCGCAACCTACGTACGAACCACTTTCTGATGACGATTAACGATGTTGATTGATAAAATGTTGATTGATAAAAACTGCATGCATTTATTTTATTGATTTTATTTCTCTTTAATGTAGCTCAGATAGTTGTTTTTTTGACGGGGTGAAACATGAAGCTAAAAATAAACTACTTTTATTTCATTTTTTTTCCAATAAAATTACAGTTCATTACAGTATCAAACAATTCAAAGCATGGTTTGGAAAACGATGTAATCTACATTGAAGCTCTAATCCTGAATCTCACGTAAAGTGAAAATATTGATATTTTTTATGCTTACATGCATCAAGAAACTATTCCAAATTAACAAGTCTCTGGTATGTAATAGGTTATATGGAAGCTCCATCAAATACTACTCTTTTCTACTTGGAAGGCTTTTGAAAATTTTTTCCACAATCAAAGAATCAAGCATTATCTTTAATAATAATAAAGGAAACAATATGAAGTGGTTGAACGAAGTATAAAGGCATCGACTGTGGTGTAATGATTCGGTCGCCTATTTTCGTACCACTCAAGTTGGATTCATAAATTGATCCATGAAGTGATGTGAAGAACTGCCGGATTAAGTTCTGGAATGCAAGTTTAGTCTTCAGCGTTTCCGTAGGTTTACTCATCTTTAATCAGTTTCATTGATGAATTTATTTTCAGACCGATTTATGATTGTAATTGCAATTCTCCTTCTCTACTTTACGAAATTATACTTGCATTTCTGCTAAAAGGAGCAACAATGTCTTTATATGTCAAGTTACTCAATATGATAAAAAACTCAAATAAGCTTGACTATAATCCAATATGCCACATTGTTCAAATTAATTTATTAATTTTAGAAATCTAGTTTATTGTCATAAATACCGGCAAAGTATCAGTAATGCTGGTTTATTGCAAAAGTATTTGTATATTTAAATTCGGTATGATTTGCCACTAGTATTGAAATTTACTGAATTTGCTTAGAATATTTCAATTAAATTCTAACCATATCAGTGGTTTTATTGAGATATATCCGTTCTGTACAATCATATGGCAACCAACGCAATGATATTAAAACTTTTTTCTGCGTGATATATCGAGCAGTTACAAGTTGAATGTTATCAGGCAACGGTGGAAGGGCTATCGATGAGTGAGCGAATTCTGAAAGTAATATTATTTATGATGTTTTTTCTTATATTTCATCTTAAAATGCTAAATGATGAAGAGGAAGTTTCCCAAATTTAAGCCTTCGAAATTTTTGTTTCATGTAAAATTATGATTTATTTATAAAATTTTTTTTTCTATAAGATTTAGCTTTTAAGGTTTGAATTAAAAATTTTGAAAATTACAAAAAGGCTACAAATTTTCGGAGGCAAAATTACATAATTACTTTTGTAATGTTGTGATCAAAATTTACTTTACCAATTATAGATTACTTTATGAATTTTCATTTCATTTTTTCTTATTTTATGATTAAGAAAAGTAATGTAAAAATCCAAATAATTCAATATTTTTACGTAACTTCAAATAATTTACGTAAAAATATATTCACACAATTTTTTCATGAAAATATAAACTTAAACTTTATTTGAATTTAGAATCATCACCGATTACTGAACTTATTTTAATAGTTATAGCTTTGACAAGAAACTAGAAATAATTACTTGTCAAATTAACATTAGCTGAAAAGAATACAGCTGCTGGATAAAGCAGTTCTTCGAGATTCTTTTGTACAAGCTGTGAATGGTAAATAGTATTGTGCTTGGAATCATCTCTTGAAAATGTTTTATTTTCTGTGCCGAGAAGTACATCATCGTTTTGATCACTTGTATGTAATTTAGACTCGAATATTATACGATATTTAAGATGTGATGGATAACTCTAAAAAGTTTTATAACTATTTTTTAAAACGAAAATAAATATAACAATATGCTAAATATAATAATTGCTAAATAATACTTTTAATAATGTATGAAAAAACAATGTAAGTACCTGTCCAGCTTCAAAGCTATTCAACCCTTTACCATCATCTAGATAAATTTCTCGATCTACCATTAGCAATACAGTACCAGATGTAGAAGTAACACCTGTAGATTGTGCTGCAACTATGCTACATCGAAGTGATTCATCTTCGATCATTGCTTGAGTAGTCATAGGGTAAATATTTGCTTCTAATGCTATCGTTTTATGGTATCTGTGTAATTTTTACAATGTTTAGCAATAAATTATAAAATAATTATTACTTAGGAGCAACAAATTGTACTTACTCAAAATAAGTACTTCTGTTTTATGATTTTAAGCACTTACTTTCGTTGAATCAAATACATTCCATTGACGTCAGTGTAAAATTTTTGTTTATTTTCAATTTTAGTATTCAAATTCATGAAAAAAGTATATCCAGGCATTGAAACAACGTCTGTAAATACATCAACTTGAATAGCTCGAGCTGAATTATCTGTTGAATTGATAACTGTTAAACTATAAGCTAAGTTATCGCTGAGACGTTTCCAAATACTTGAATAAACAGGCCCACGTACTACACGTGGCATTGATTCAGAATTGTCAATATCCTAAATTATTAAATTTAGAATTAAACCTTTTTAATTATAAAAATAAACTACACAATGCACATACTGATTAATTCTTAGTTTTATTTGTGATATGTGATTTACACTTTCGCGGCTTTTTCAAACTTTCATTACTTTTCAAAGTCAAAAAATGATATTTTTTGACTTTGAAAAGGTCAAAAAATGATATTTTTAAAGGTTACTTAGGGATAAGTGGGAATTGCTTCAAAAAGAAAATGAATTTTCCTTATAAAACTAAACTTTATAAATAATACAAAATGAGAAAATTTTGTCCATAAAGTAAAGTAGCAATACATTTTTCATGAAGGAAATATGAGAATTGGAAGTTTTGTGCTAATTTTTTTATTTTCAAGTCAAATATTACAAATATGCGTGCAAATATTTTAAAAAATACGACAAAAAGTTAATGCAAACCTGAAACGGAAATTGTGCAACCATAATGTATGCACCTCCTTGATCAACGATCTTGTTAAAATTCAAGCCGAAAGTGGTATTTACACTTCCATCATTGTAAATTAACTTAATAATTGCTTAATTGCATTTTATTATTGCTATGTTAGTGATTTTAATTCATTATAAACTCTTGACCGAATAAAATTTGAAGTTAATCAAACTCATTAAATAAAATATGTTAAATACTCAAGTATTTTTCTATATCATTTTTATTTAAAAAATTCATTTTACACTTCAAAAATTTATGACTATTAAAATAACTTACTCGATGATTTCCATTATTTAAATTCCAATATAATTTGATAAAATTGTTCTGTAGCAACACTGTACCATTCATTTGTGTTGGTTTCCATCTAATAAAAAAGTTTTCAGTTACTTTTTAACTTTAAACTTAAGTAGTGCTTCCAAACTTTAAAAAAGTTAATGAATAAAATAATCTAGAAACACACAAAATTAGGTAGTTAGATAATTATTGAACACACCACCTTTAATATTTTGAATATGAAATTAGTTTAGGGTATATGGTAAATAAAATTAGTTAATTAGACAAAGTAAAAAATTTTATTAATAACTTAATCAGGTTAAATAGTTCTGAATAAAAATTAGACTGAATTAATTAAGTTAAATGATTGACAAAATGCACTAAAAAACATGCTTGTTTAATACTGTGCTGAATGTATTGGATACAGCATGTGCATTTTTGCATGCATAATTATTATTCAACTCAATGACTACAACTGTTGTCGAGAATGGGTCAAGTGATATGATAAACGATAACTGAAATAAAATGCACCTTTTTTAAGTATAAAAGTTAAGATTTAGAAAAAAGTGAAACAAAACCTTAGTTGAGTTTTTATTTTTATTAGCAATAAAATGATTAGTTGAAAGTATTAGCTAATCTGAATTAGCCTGAACTTACTTCGAATAAGTCAGTTTCTTGAGGAAATTGTACTAATTGTATAGTTAATGCTTCTCCACGATGCTTTGCAATTACTGAACAATTAGTTATGTTTAATTTAATAAGTTCTGTTGTTAATAATCCTTTCTGATTTACAATTTGAATTCCATACCTTAATTTTTTATTCAAAAAAAAAGCATCAAAAGAAATATAATCACAAAACACATTTCTTTTTTTGATAAAAAATATGCAAACATTGTATTATGATTACAAAAATGCGTTAGGACTAACACAAATACCTAATAATGCCAGTTTTGTTTCATCCTTGATCTTAATCTTGATCTCACTCTTAATCAATAATAAATTTTGCAGAGTCAAATATTTTAAGAGACATACCTTTTAATGCCATTAGCAAAAGTAAGTGTTCTGTGAGTTAACTGCATTCCTTTTAATTTTAATGAGTTACTAATTATCTGCAATTTCATTTTGCTATCAAAAATCATCAGAAACACAACTGAAGAAACAAAAATAACAAGTTGAAACTAGTTTTAAAATATTTTTGTTTAGAAAATAAGTTCAAAATTTAAATAGACAAATAATTACCACTCTTAAAAAACTATTATTATTATTATTATTATCAGATTCGCTATTTAGCAATCTTTCCTGTTCCATTAAAATTGTCTGTAGTGATGCTCGAAGCCTGAAAATTCTTTTGTAGATATATTTTTTGAATACGTATGTAACCAATCCAAAAAGATATTTCATTATATGGTGAATCTGTATTAGGGGAAAAATTCCCCGTAAATACTGATAAATTTAGCATATGACTGCCATTTCTGAGTGAATCAATATAAGTGATTAATATTAGCAATTTATGAATCTTTTTCATCGTTAATTTTATTATTGTCTTGGATTAAAGAGCTGCATTGCATGAACAATCAAGCAACAATGCATTTAACTTTGATAACAATACAATTAGGAAACTAATACACAGACTAAGATTAAATAACTATTTTTAACTGAAATTAATAACTGAAATTATTTTACTTTTGGTTATTTTGATGACAATAATGCCATTAATTCGATTATTGTTTTTAAGAATATTATATTATTAAACATATTACTTTGATGTATAATCATCCATTACGTATCGTTTGCTGGTTCCTGTTATCGCATCGTGATGTAAGCTAAGCGCCAAATTTCTCCGTGCAATATTTGTATCATTTTTGGGATGCATTGCAACCGCAACGCTAATAAAATCCATCAGACGAAGTTCACTCTTTAATTATCAATTGGATTTTATCAGTTAAAATATTACTTTCCAAATAATCAATTATATTTTTGAGAAATTTTTGAACTGATCATTTAATTGGTGATCAGATCAATCGAATTTATAAAACTTTCTCACTTGTACAATTCTTACAAATCGTTTGAAGTAAGCTCGATGATTGTAAAAACCAGTCCAAAGAGATGTATCATTATATGGTGAATCTGTATAAGGGAAAAAATCTCCCGTAAGTATTGGTGAATTTATCATATGACTACTATTTCTAAGTGAATCAAAGTAATCCTTTATGGTACCAAATTGCACCTTAAATTTCAATCATTTGAAAGCCATTCATTATCATCTTTTTCATCAGTACATAGATAGTTTTTTCAATTCATAAGTTAAAATGAAACTCATTTCCATTATGTCTAGCTTTTTAGTAATGTACTTAAATAAATTCATGAAAAAATAAGAAACTAAGAAATTATAGTCATAATTTGTTGAAGTTTTAGAATATGAAATGAAACACATGTTTGGGATTGAATATTAATTGAAATCAAGTATATATATATAAAGATTTTTAGGCTAATTTATTGCTATAAATTAAATAATTTTGAAGGCATTAAACTAAATTCTGATGTTTACTTTCATTTTGAAGCGTTCATAATTCCTATTGATATATTTAAAAAGCTTGTGATAAACTTGATAAACTATTTCTAGATCACTGGAATATGAATATGCAAAATCATCGCCAGCAGCTACTAAAACAGAATCCGAATTATAAAATGTTTGCAGTGATCGATACTGATCAGCCATTCGTTCACCACTAAAATTTTAATTCTCTGATTACCAGATTTTTACTTAAAATATTATTTTATCATTTCAGAATACAATTAACATTTTGAGTAAACATAGCATTCAACCTATTGAATAATGAAAGCCATTATGATAGAAAAGTTTATGAAAATAAAGGAATTCATATTTCAGATGAAATATTCATAATTTTACTAAAAATTTGTTTATAAATTAGTTTTGATCTTTATTTAAAAAGTAAAAAGGAGAAGGGAAGTTGGAGACTTATGGATTCTTTTCTTGAACTAACTTTGATAATAATACATGTAAATTTTATTACAAATTTAATTACCATAGTTTAGGAGTAAACTTTTTGCATAATTTTCACTTATTGTCACTATGCACATGCAAAAAGAATTAGAAAAGATTTTACAATAGAAAGCTTGGAAAAGGATTCTACGTACTTCTATTTTTAGATATATATTTCCAACTCATTTCAGTTTTTAATCTCATTCTTAAAACCAGATTTAAAAATTTTGACTTTTGGAATTATTAAAATAAAATTGCACTCAAAAATAATTATTTAAAGTATCAAAAATTTAATTTTGAATTCAAAATATGTGCAACTTATCCATTTCAGGTTTTGTGTAATTTAAATAAATAGTCAAACTGTAATTGTTTGTTGAAAAAGTGATGAAAATATTATGCGTAAGCAATATTTTGTGTTGTAATTTATTTATAGAAACAATAAAAATAATGAATGAAAAAAACGAAATTTAAAAAAAAGTCCTACTAAATAGCGATTTCTTGGCACGTATTCACTTTGGCTCGTTCTCTACAGTATGACCGGGCTGATGTAGCAACGTCGAATTGGCAACAAATAAAATTGTTAACACCACAAGCGTCGCTTACTGTATAATATCCCTTTGGTAGAACGTTAACAAAAGGCATCCAGTGAAAATCCTCAAAAAGTTTGAATATTTAATCTTTTAAAGTTGAATTAATTCACAATCTCAAAAAATTCTACTAATCCCGAAATTTTAATGACTTATTTTTTAAGTTATATTTAGTAATCAAAATTCTCAATATGAACTCAAAATTAAAATTGATGCAGTTTTTCAATTTGAAATATTTTAAGGAAAATTTTCACCGAATCCCAAAGCTGCGCCCAACGAAAGTGTAGTTGGTGATTTTGTCGTAAAATATTTTTGATATTATAATGGATGCGGCCAATTACCATTTTTGTCATACCAGATAAGGTCAGTAGGTATGGCATCATAAGTCCGTGACCAAATGGATCAACTGACCTGAATAAATTATAAAGTAGTATCAGTATAGATAATTTTTGTATCAAAACAATTTTTACCATCAGCAAAAATCGTCGTTTACAAACTTTTGCATGTTATTTTTAAAAACATTTCTTAATGAATATATGTTTGTAGTTAAGTTAAATATATACTTTCATCAATTTTCAACGATTATTTTTTTAAGCACACTATAACCTTTAAAACAGTTTTTAAAGTTTTTTCAATCAATAACTATCACAAGGAAACTCTAACCATGCTGTAGTTGGTGTTATATTAAGGATTTCTTGAATATATTGATTTCCAACAATAATATTTTCAATAGACTCCCAAAAGTATGGTGTTGCTTCATCAGCCATCACCCAAGAACCAGTACTGATCTCTAAACGCCCCTCTTTCACTAGCCTACAATTATTAATTTAAGATTACCATTTAAGTATTGAACTATTCAATGAGTCGTACATTGAAAGTATAAAATAAGTAAGAAGTAAAATATTCAAATATAATTGATTAACTTTTTAAAATATTCTCTATAAGTCTGATTAGCTTCAGTCCACCACTTTTCCAGAAATGATGCTTCAGACCAAATGAATTTTAGTTTTTGATGCCTGCGTAGCGAGTTTACTACGTTGTTCATAATGTCTCGAACCTAAAATTCATCAAAAATACAATAAGTAAAATGAAATTGGAATTAATATTGATACTTCAGACCAAATGAATGAAATCAAGAAAAGATTAAATTTTCACTTAAATTAGTCTAGCATTCCCTTCAATATTAGTGCAAAAATAGTGCTTGCATTTTCATCAGAACAAAATCAAAACTTTTGCATGATAATATTACAAAACTAATACCACCGCTATTTTCGTTCTGTATAATCATTATTGCAAAAAATACAATCGCAATTATTGCGACGTATTTTTAATTATCGTAAATTCATATTTACAATAAAAAATAGAAATAAAATCAAATGAATCAAATTACCGGTTTCTCAGATGCATTGTAGTATTCATCAAATGTATTCAACCATCCAGCATCAACATGTGAATGCAGAACCACAAATACGTTTAAATGCTCTGATTTTTTTTCTTTATTTTTTACTAATTTGATATCATTACCTTTGACCTATTACAAAATTAAATTCATAATTATTTTTCCAATAATTTAAATAATTATCATACTTAAAATGAGTTAGCTTCCATCTTTTCATTAGTAGTTTTAGTTTTCACAAACATTCAAAAGTTCTGAATATTTTTATTCATGCATAGACGTACATATAAAAGTAGAGATATTTTTGCTAATCTCAATATTATTATGTTTTGAGTTGATTTTGATCGCAATATCTTCACTTATATTCACATGCGTACCTGTGTTACTGCAGCACTGTTTAATGGTTGCACCGATTGACAGATATGTGGTGTATCCATGGAATCTAGCAGTGATTCATTCTGATTAATTTTTATGTACTGAAATATTTTAAAATTAATCTATCGTTTTAAATTGAATGTCCTTTTTGAAGAAATTAAAATAAATCATTCAAAATGTTCTTCAACGCAAAGTAACTGTACTTCTTCGTTATCATCGTTTACCTCTCTTGAAATTAAACTAATCCAAGTGTACTTTTGTGCCATAAACACACATATCATCGTACTTCCGATCATTGAAGTGATTATGACTAAGTAGTATTTAGACTGTTTTAAGATTCTGTTTGAGGATAACGCTGATGCCATTACTTGAGTATGTTCAGAGTTGAGAATAAATTCAGAAATTGGGAATAAATCAATTATTATATATATTTTATATCATCCGAACGCAAAAATCATTACTCAATGAAATTATATTGATTAAATTATATAGCACGTACTGTTTTCAATCAAACAGTTCACAAAAGTGGCTGCATTTCAATCATATCAATCAAAATTATCACTTCCTAACAGTAGTAATTGATGAAAGCTATCGACTTTTAATTGGTTTCACCATTTCGTTCATTATTTTTATTGAAATAAATAGTCGGCTATTTTAATTGGATAAACATTAGTGAGTTAATTTTGAATTTTATTCGTGTAATCAAGGGATTTCTGAATTTCAGAACATTGTTTTAAAGTAAAATATCAAAATATAGCGCTAATAATGATAATAATAATAATAACAATAACAAGAACAATAATAGAATATACGATGCCATTGTTGTTGCCAATGGAAGAAAAAAGTTACAGAGATTTGTCTGTGATATACATTCGTAGTAAAATAAATTTGATTTGAATGAATAATTCAGATTTTTGTATAATAAGAAATTGATGTATAACATTCACAAATGCTTCTTATGCTTAGTGAGGAATATGCAATCAAAAATGCTAATGAAAGTCAGAAATGCTTTTTTGAATTTATGAATGAATAAACAAATCAAAAACTGATCAATCAATAGATTTATGATATAAAATGTTTTAAGCGAATAGTTTGGAACACATTTATTTAATACTAACAATTAAAATCAAAAATTAAATAAATTTAAGCAGCAACTAAAATAATCTCATAATATACTTACACTTTCATACAGCACATGAAAGAGTAAATATTTACACTTTCACATGCTTTTACTGTACAAAACAAAAATTTTTTTGGGCAAACAAAATTTTCACATTTGTTCGTCAGAACTAAATCTGATGTGATTTCATGTTATCTTTAAATACCATTTAAATAATTCATAAGTTTTGCATGCAGTGGTTATAACTACACGAGAATATATAACTTTCTGAAAAAAAATCAGAAAGTGTTTGATTATTCAATTTAGTAAATTATAATAATTGCAAAATTGCTTCAAAGTGAGCTGCCAGAATTATTTTTGTAATAAATTATTTGCAAGTGTTGCTAAGAATTGAAAAGAATTCAAATGGTAAGTAAATACATTGTTAAAATGTTTAAATAGTTCACAAAAGAATTATAAAAAGTATTGCATTAGAAAAAATTTAAGTAAATTACTTTTTCATCTACAAAAAATGAAATTTTTTGGATACAAAGTAAAAATATCAAATCAACAAAAAAAATTATTACTACTTGATTTCATTTAATTTGTTGATTCAATCCTGATTGCACGCACAGCAAATAAATATTGTAAACTTGTTTTAAAAAAGACCTATTTGGGCTTATACCACTTCTATATCTATTATGATTTGTTAAATTGAAAAACAGATTAAAATAATTTAAAATTACTTAGCATTCATTCACAATATTAATGTAAATCCTTCGTTACAAATTATTTGTGAACAAAAAATTTTGCTAAAATTAAAACATGTTAACAAAATTGTGCAAAATTTAATTTTAGAAGCAAATTTATCATGATAAACTGATAACAAACAAAATATGTTCAAAAGTATTTGATGAAATTCGTAAAAGAATGAATTATGCTTAATATTTTTATTTTTTAAAACAAAAACATTAAAGTATTGATGAACGTGCAAATTACTCATAAACAATATTGAAAAAACTATGAACAATAATTA